CCTGCACACATCGCGTGCGCCCCTAAGCCAGGAGGATGTCGATAGGGCAGGGGGAAACATCCTTGAGCTGGACATTTTCATAAAGCAGCAATGATGCCAAAAGCTAGAAACACACAAGTGAGGGGACAGAGAACAGCTCCAGCAGTGGCCCTCACAGCTCCAGCTTCTCAGTCATCCACACAGCTGCCCACATCACCGGATGAAGAAACACAGGACCGAAACAGGGATTCTTAACCCTTGTGCCCTGTGATGGGAGGTGCAGCACCTAGCTCCTGGTAGACACAGCCCAACAGGTCTGCACAGAAAGGATGCTCAATTTGGTCTGAGCAGGACATGGAGCCTCTATCTTTGGCTAAATGTTCAAAGACTACTCCAGACAATGGCCAGTGGAAGTACTGAAAATTGTATTTATCATGCTAAATCCTTTGGAATGAAGTTTTCCTGTTCACTGTGGCTGAGTTTTTACTCAAATTTATCAACATGCAAAATAATCCCAGTCCCATTTGAAACTTCAAGCCCCAAACTTGTCATAATCACCCCTTGCTGGGAGAGAGACAGATGTGTTCAAGAACCCCTTGGCCTTTTGCAATCCTGGGATCAAACTTTATAGATGTTCCCTCCTCAGGCCTAAAGAGGAGGGAATAAAAACTACAAATGCCTTGAGAGGTATACAGTGCCATAGTGACAAACTCAAGCCCAGCAGTGGGGTTCAGCTCCTTGTTCTGCTCTCGTTGGCACTGTGACTTCGAATGAATTTCTTAATCTTTCTGTGCCTTATTTGTTCTTCTATAGAGATAATAATAGTACCAAGTTCATAGGTTGTAAGGATTAGAAGAAGCAAGACATGTAAAATACTTAGCACGGTGTCTGGCATGTGGAAAGCACTCTGTCAATACTGCTGCTATTATTGCATCATGACTCCAGAGACAGCTTAAATAAAAGATCCCTAACACTAACACAGCCTGAAATCCAGCTTACAGGAAGACTGTGGAGTTGGTTAATTCAGTGTAAACCAGTACCTGGATTCAGCCATACCTATTGCCACCTCCACACAAGGGCCTCTTCCTCAGAGCTCTGGGAGGGGCTCAGTCTCTCTGCAACTTCCACTGTGCTCATCTTGTCCCTGGATGCACTGGAAATGCTGCCTTTCTGATGTTGCAATCGCTCCAGGGGATGAAAACAACTTTCTATGCTGATGAGCAAGGCCTTTCCTAAACTATATTGAATGGAGAGAAAGAATGATTGTGCTTTGGACTCCCAAGGGCAGAGGACCTTTGGAACCCTGGTATCAATACCATGAAATAGCTGTAGACTCTCATCAGGAGAGGGACAGGCCTAAAGCTGCTGTACAGGGTAAGGGGGCTATACATCTGTGGCCCTGACTGGGGCCAGGCCAGAAATCACTACCTATTTGGAGGTCCACTGAGGTCTTCACCCTGCATTCCAGAGTGCAGCTAATATAAGTGATGTGGCCCCATGCAGCAGGGAGAGGAAAGTCTCTGAGATTGCAGCAGTAACCCTGCAGTGGACCTATTTGGTTTTCCAGCGTCACTCTACCAGCTGTGTGCCACTGCTGGGCTGGAGGCTGAAGGGCCACTCCTGCTGAGGACAACGTCTGGTAATTTAGGGAAATGCAGAGAACGGACACAGAACAGTATTGAGCTGATTAGGCTAGTACCTGACGAGGGCACACACTAAGTGCAGGCGGCCACTGAACACGGCCTTCCCTTGAAGAACAAAGGCAAAGAAAATTGGTTCACAAAGGAGAATTAAGTGACAATAATACCCTGAAGAGAAGTCAAAATCAGTTCGAAGTCATCTGACTCAGAAAAATACAGGATCCCAAAGAGTAAAGCTGAACTATGTGAGATCTTTGAATAGTGGGGATTTTACTTTAAAATGCTTTTGTTAAGTAATTTGAGTGCTTCTAGAGCTGAACAAAGGCCAAGCCCAGGGAGACTCCCTGTCTTCAGGCTGTCCAAGCTTCTGTCCTGCACACAGGTCCCCTAGGAAGCCTCTCGGTGGCCCTCATCAACAGCTGAGAAGTGGAGAGGCAGTTCCCTCCTGGGCCACGTGGCATCTATCCCACTGCTTCCCTAGGCTCCCAAAGCCTAGGCTGACATTTAGGACCTACATGAAAACCTTCTGGGTTTAGACCATTTCCAATTTCCAATTCAGTTGGGCAGTGCTGGATTTACCTTGCTGCATCTGGGTTCCAATGCCAGGATCTGTCCCTGTACTCCCGGCAGCTCCCAGAGAGCATCCAAGGCCATCATGCTTTCAGGAGGAACTCTTTTAGGTTTGTGACCTTCGTGGTAGATTAGCAACCAGGGACCAACTGTCCTGGGTCAAGAACAATGCAGAGCTCACAGAGAAGGGTCTAATCACTCCGAGTGGTGACAGAAGACAGAGATGTACATTCACATGGGGCAGGAGCAAGTTCAATGAAGAGAACTTATAAAGGGACTGAGAGGGCTTAGGGAAACCCACAGAGGAAGATGCAGTACACAGGGCACTAGCATTGGTCTTGGCATGAAGAAGCCATAGACATAGCGGTAAGAAAGAGGGTAGGGGGACATTGGCCCAGAAAAGGAGGGTACAGCAAAAATCTAGCAGTCCAGCGAGGGAGGCACTGGGGGAATCAATGCCTGGGTCTTGCTCTCCCGTCCTCTAACCTCCTGCCGGTGCCTGTGTTGACAGAATGTCAACAAATCCAGGGCCAAGGGGTGCTTGACAATACAGTCCCTAAAGATCAGTGTCTGAGCAGACAGGGCAAAACAGGCAGAGTGGTCCTGGAGGCACAGATGGAAAACATCCAGCCAGGGTCATTTCCCAGAGGCAGCAGCTTCTTGGTCTCCAGCCAAGTGCAGCCATTATAGGACACAACTTCCTTGGCCAATTTCAAAGCCCTACTTACTGCTGGGAATGCATGTTTGAACAAAGCCTTTATTCTCTATTCCAACAGCAGGACTGGAATTTAAAAAGCTTCATTTTTAAGACTGGCTGCTTTTGATCTGTCTAACCTGGAACTTACATTTTGGAGTCAAATAGAATTATTTAAACAGAGCATTGCAGTGATAAGCCCAAAATGTTTTTATTTTTTCTCCCCTTCCCCCAAACACCACATAACATTCCTACTTGATCAAAATGTAAGGACTACTCCTTGGCCAACTCCTCAAATCATAGCCTCTCAGCTTCCATTCCCCTGGACATTTGTTTCTTCAGTCTCTCTTCTGGTTTGCTTGTGAACAGGCTAAGAAGGGGACCAATTTTACCTCAGACCAGCCTGGAGCGGCAAGCTGTTACAGCAACAACGCTTCCCCCCCTCCTGCTTCCGGGGTTGGCCACTGTGTGCTGGCATTTGGTTCTATGAACTATACTGTGTTTTCATCTTGCTTCCCCAACCCAACTGTTTTTCTTTCTTCTCAAATATCATCCGCTGTGTTCCCCAGAAGAGCTTGGGGACAAGCTCCAGTCCTGTGTTCCTATTATGTCTGCCTTGACTTACCTGCTATTCCAAGTTGGAGTGCGAATCAACATTTGCATTCCGTGGAAACAATATCTGCTCTGGACTGTCCTAGACAGTGTACGACCTTCTGCATTATGGCAAAGCACAGGCGTGCAGAACAGGAGGCATCACACAGACTGTTGTTGGTTGGGCCAAACCAGGCTGAAATGGAAGGGCTATTTTTTCACAGCTATGGAATAAATGGAGAGTAAAGTTGCATACCTCCAGTCATTAAAGAGGTATATCAGTTGGAAAACAAACCTTAGATAAGGCCTGATCTAAGTGTATTTCATACAAATAAACAACACACAGATATAATATCTGTAGAAATTAAAGTAAGCTAAATTTCTTATCAGAGTTATTCTATACATATAATGGTACATAATAGTATACTTTCTATTATTAGAGGAGCTAAGAGAATGCATCTCATAATAGAAACCTTCCCTGGTATGTGGTAGGAAAAAGTGCAGACACATTAAAATGTTATAAAATTACTTCAATTTTCAATCAGTGGTTAGTTCTATACCTTTGCTCAAGATTACTGGCAGAATTCTAATTTAGGGCCATGAGAAATGAAAATAGTATTTGATTTGACAAGTGTTAACCACAAGAGAAGTGATCACTGTGGAAGGAAGGGCACTTTGAATACAAGGCACATCCCATTTCAGGCCTAGAGTCAAAGCCACTGTCCTGGTTGGCTTTTCTACAAGGAGACCAGCATCCTGCTTTCCACCAGGCCTTGGGTCCTTCTGTATCAGGGGTGGCAGGACCACAGCCTCGGGATTGCTTCTGGGGATGGGACAGCTCCACTTGGCCTGGGAGCCAGGTTCTCACCGTGTGGACAGACACACTCTCTGTGGACCAACCAGTGCACCACGCCCTGAAAGCATATTTTCAACTCAGGAAATGCTCTGTGGGCTTCTGATAGCACTAGAAATAATAATAAAAAGGGAGGAAGATGTTGAAGCTATGTCAATTCCAATTTTAAAATAAAACGTAAAATTTATACCAGACAAATTTGGCTAGCAGCTTCCTTCAAGGGAAGCAGAATCTCCTAAATTAATCACAAGAAGCACATGTACTTCCTTTAACCTTTGAGTGGATTTATGTGCAACTCGTGAGTACTCAGCTGGCTAGGTGCGGGTCATTCTGGAGGCCTAACTGACAAGCCCATGGTGGGGGGATTGCAACGAAATGTGTTTATTTTTATAAATGTAAAAACAAGTGCAAATTGTTTCTTTAAAATTTCTTTAGGAAGGCCACAGAAGCATTAATTTATCCTGCTTAACCTCCAGTGCAAAACCGCTTACCTAAGTGGAAAGAAGATACGCACAATACCAAGAGAAATGATGTATTTTTTCTGTACCCAGCCTCTTGTCCTTCCCCAGAGATATGTGCTACCATTGCAGCAACAGGCCAACCTTTGTCATGTATGGACCTTACCATGGACCTTACCATATTCACTTCTTAGTAACATAAAAAGTAACATGCATAGGTAACATCTGATTTTTATTGATTGAATCAATACATTGGGAATTTAGCAGCAAGTTAATGGCAAGCAGTTACAAAATTTTCTTATGCTTAAAGTGAGTTGTTTCAAACAATTGTAGTAACGTAAAATTACAAGAACACATGAGAAGGACTGAAGCACTCCTGCTACAATGCCTACGGCAAAGTTACTGGTAATTTTCTAACAATGTCTTCTAGTGCAAAGTGCAAATCATTATTTGGAACCTCTATTACCAGACTTGGCCTCTTGTTTTCCCCTATAAATAACCATGCCTAAACATAAGACCTTGAAATAAAACAGTATTGCCACAGCCTTGCACTGAGGGCATCGGCCTCCTGAAACAATCCTTGGATACATCTTGAGTTGATTTTAGCTGCACGGCCATCAGGCCTGTTGGTGGCTGTGCTTTAACACTCCGTGCAGTTTATGCTGCTTTGGAGATAACTAGCTTCAATTTTAAATTGACGCAGACACAAGTCGGGACTCAACGGACCAAGAGGCCGAAAGCTCAGGGTAGCGCCATCCTTTCCCTTCCTCACCCTTCCTGTTAGCACTGGGAAGAGCAGTTTGTTTTGGTGCTGTTTGTTCAGCACTGGTGGGAACATTAGGTTTTTTTTCTGGCTCGAAAGGAGGCAACGGATTTAGTAGTGAATTTGGTTCCTACTCCTTGGCTTGGAGTCACCGAAGTTTTCTCTGCTTCTTCCTTGACTTCTTGTGGAAGGAGTTTGCCAGATGTGGAACTTAAAGAGGACAAGTCAGAATCATTTGTATCTGTTTTCTTACTGGTCGAAGGTGATTTCTTTTCATAAGTAGTGTCCTAAAAAATAAAACAAAAGGCCTAGGTTAGTTTTCAGACACACACACACAAATATATCAACTCAAAGACGCAAGGAACTACAACGATGTCCAAGACTGGCAAACTGTAGCACTTTCTGGACTTGGGACACACACTCATCACACTGTGAAGTTTTAATAAATACAAACATACACACACATGCATACACACATGACCTTTAGCACTTTCAAATACTGAATTGACTGATTTAGTCCCTGGAGCAAACCGTTTAGCCTCAATTTCAAGTCCTTTGCCATGCAAAACGGAAGTTTTTCAGAAAGGTCTTCAGCAAGGAAAACACACTTGGATACAACTGTATTCATTTCATCTTTCAAATTTCCTGACAAGCTCAGATGTATTGATACCCCGACAAGTATGGTGTGCTTACTCTAGCCTGGGTCTGAAGCCGCTGCAAACCGACCACTCACATTCTTACAATTCTGCATTCATTCCAGGCACTGGCTTCTGTTTCCAGTCATAATACTCAGCAGGTCTGGAGAGCTCTTTGAGCCTCAGCCTCTCATGCTATAGTGGACAAAATAGTATGTGCAAGTTTACCTCGAGGGGTGAGTGCAAAAATGCACTGAGAGGTTGGCCATGAAAGTCCTAGTGGAAGGGTTTAAACAGGCAACTGTACATTCTCAGGTCCCTCACTCCACAGCAGAGGAGGAACTGAGAACTGCCATCCTGAGAAACGGAGGGTCCGCTTTGACCTTATGTTTATTTTAAAAATGACCACTTTTAACTAAATGACAGTAAGTTCTTAAAGAGCATGGAACATCCCAGGAGGCCTACAAAGCTAGATAGGACCACGCACGTACAGACCCAACAAGCTGTCACTACACAGAATGAACTAGGAAAGGGCTCACAAATTTAGTTGATAGAAAAGTATACATTTGGATTAATAATTTAGTTAACAATTTTCAAAAAATGTGAAAAGATTACACATAATGCAGAATAAATTAACCTGGTGTTTCTTTGGTCACTTAAGTTCTTGTGATATAATGACTGTGTTCTACATATAGACAATTACTATGTACCTGCTCTATGAATGAATGATTCCCCAGGGCTGCAGCACAGCGTCAGGTCGTTTGTACTTTTGTTAGCTGCATGCCAAGGAGACTCTACTTGACATCTGTTAGTTGCAGTAAGCCCTTAAATGTGTGCCTGTCAAGAGCGTCATTCATTCTGACTTTATAGCAGTGCGTGCTGACTCTTGAATCGATAATTAATAAGCATTTTGTAACTGAAAAATTAATTTGTATATATTTTGAAAGTTAAATGGTTCTGTTTGTTATGTTTTCTCCTTGAAGAAAACTGAGTCATTTCTTTGTGTTGTCTCAAGAAGCAGAAAAATTTCAAAATTCCCGCCAATACGGGCTATATAGTCTCGTGAAAACTTCTATATTCATCAACAGGTTGAGGATGAAACATTCCTCAGGTTCTAGATCTGCCTCAGGACAAGCTGCTTTCTTTAGAGTAATTCTGGTCTCTAAGTCATGGAACCTACTTGGAAATTTTAGTTCATAAAATTTAATTAACTTTATATACAAATCTTATTTAAGGTTGAATCCACGTGTAACCCCCTCTCTCTCTCTTATTTGATATTTCTATTTGCATTCTGAGTTATTATCAAATCAGTTGAAAGAATAGTTTTCAATATGTCCACTACAATTCTATGAAACAGGAAGAGAGCTTCAGTCATTTTCTTTTTAATGAGCTCATGTTTATATCTGCTTTATGTTTTCATTCTTATCCATTGTTCCATTTGTTAATGTACTTAAATCCTTAAGGTAGACTGAGAAGTTGTTAGGAAGAAACACTCAGAAATAGTCTTTATGGATAGGGATAGTAATGCAAACTTTTTTCCTAAAATAAAAAAAAAAACCTTCATAGGCTCATATTTTCTTCTTGGATACAATATCTTAATTCTTGGAATTTTCTGAAAAGGAGGAAGGAAAAGCCAAGCTAAACAAAAGCGTTTCATTACTTTGGTATAGAAACATGATATTCTTTTCATTATGTAGCAAGATGAGAAAATTATACTCCTCCAGTCACATTCATTTATTCATAAATTTAGCAGTTTTTAAAATAGGCAGTACATAGCCATGACTTAGAGGTTACTATGTTCAAAATCTCCTTGTTCCCTAGTTAACTCAGCTCTCCCCAGCAAAGGTAACCAAGCTGTCAATTTACAGAATATACTTCTAGAGAGACTTCAGATGTGTGCAGGCAAATAAGTGCAATCAAATGGAATTGGTTGTCACTGCCATTGGATGCAGGTCAAAAACTATCTAATAATGGCCCTTTCATAAGGCTCGACTTTATCCTACTCTCTATATACTCTCTTTCACTCTTTTGACACAAATAGTAGCCCACTAAGCACCTCTTTACACCTTGATTGTTTAAACTGATGATCATCTAGAAAATTAATTCATAAAAAGAGTGCTCATCCTTTTTTTCTTACTGGGCAGTAATTCTCCTGTTTAACCATTTTATCCGGCAGTCCCCTTACAATGTTTCTAGTCATTTACTAGCACAAGTAATGTGGCTGTGAACAGCCTTGGACTTGTATCATTTTCCACATGTCACTGTATCTACAGGGTATATATATTTAGAAGTAAGCTTCCTGGGTCACAAGGACTTCATAATTTTGAAAGATATCATATTGTCTTAAATTGAAGTTACACCAATTAATATTTCTGCTCTTGGCATATGAGAGTGCTTCTTTTCTTATTTCTTTGTCAATTTGTGCTTAATATATGTTAAAACTAATACACACAACCATAATACTTTAAGCCTCAAAATTGGCCTGCACCAAAACAAATCACAGTATTTATTCCTTCACTTCCTGGTAACGTCAATGCAAATACCTTCTTGTAAATGTTTACTGCAAATGCTTAGGAGCTTTGAATATGAATTTAACCTCGGAAATTGTGTGTGTGTGCAAGTGTGTGCCTTAGCATTTCTCTTTGTTCATTTGCAGATGCATTACACTTAGCATGCCTTTAAAACTGAATCCGGTTAGTTTTTCAAAAGCATCTGAGAGTCTCCTTTCGAGAATCCCTCATGGAAACTATTCTCTGGCATAGGCAGAGCACAGACGCAGAATGGCCACCATGTGCCTTCTAGGTCAAGCTGTACTTTTCTTTACAAACAGCCACACCTCCCACCTCCTTAGAATATAAATGGCAAAGGTAAATTCCAACTTCTAAGTTTTTCCTAAGACTGTGAACAAATCTTAAAATTTTCAGGGATTTCTTTTGCTAGGTTATAGATTATCTAAATTTTGGGTTTCTCCTTTTCCTCTGTCATTGCTAGTAGGATTCCTCAGGGATCTGTGCTGTCACTGATGCAATTTTGCAGTTTTATAAGCAATAAGACAGAAGAATGAAAGTGAAATTGCCAAAGCTATGAGATCTTACAGGTCATGAAAGACAAACAGAAAGGGAAGAGCTCCCACAAGACTGTACAGAGGAAGCAAATGACGGAGGAATTTCAATATTCAGTTCTGGGGAAAAGATCCTAAACGATCATCATGAGACCGTTGACCATTTATTTGTTAGTCCACGAGAGGATCTAAAAATGCTGCATCTAAAGTACCATAGCCGAACGGGCAAGAAAACCTCATTATTATCAGAAAGCATTTTAGATATCAGGAAAAAAAATTCTATCCTTATATAAAACCATGATGAATTCATACCAGAAATTCTGCAACCACCCTGAAAAGATAGAAAGAGACTAGGAAAAGATCTAGGAATAGGCTACTAATATGATTAAGGGATGGAGTTTTCTTTATATGAGAGATCTTCAGTCTAAAAAGATAAAGAATAACAGTATGTACACACACACATGCACACACACACACACACACACTCTAATATGGAGGAGGCAGATTCAGCACTGTGGAGCTAAGTATCTTCTTGAGTGTTGCAGTCAGTTAGGATGTCACAGCAGGGACTGCCCCAAGCAGCATTTCAATTGTTTTTCACCTTTGATAAATTTGTACCATTTGGGACTGTTGAAGTCATCAAGTGGATACAGAGTGATGGAAAAGATGACATTACAAAGTTCCCTCCAGTTTTAGCCTTTTGTAATTCAGTACTCTTGGCCTGATTTCTCCAGCTCATATTATTAATCTTGAAAAGGGGTTTCCATGTGTGCAAGGGAAGATATGTAACAAGAAGTTGAGCTAAATACATATATTTCATTATTCTCTGGCATAACTTTAACCTGATGAACTAATCTGGTGATAATGGATGCAAAACCTGTAAGCTCTAGGCATATCCCTGCAAGTTAATACCAGTGCATGATTACTGGAAACTGTTACCATTTCTCAGAATTTTGAGTAAAATACATGCTATTTAAGTAAAGTGGTTTATCACCATAGCAACCACTTCTAGAGTCACACATTCAAATTACAGGCCTTCATGAGGTCCAAATGAGAAAATTCTGGTACAAGTGTTCTGCTATAGTTTTGCTTGCAACGGTCACTCACTTTACCTCATGTTCCTGTGGCTTTCAGAAGGAAGAAGAAAGGGAAAGTAAAGCAATGAAAAGAGAAATAAATTTCCAAATATACAGACTTCTTTTACAGTGTTACCCACATAAAGGTCTGGGTCTCATATGGAGTAAGTAAAAATAAAATCTAATGTGCAAATTAGAGAACGACGTGAATTTCTCTGTAGCTAGGGTATAACTTATATACAGTAGAACAAACACATCTCAAGTGTACAAAAAACAGAAAAATTCCCCAGAAAGTTCCCTTATACCACACTCCAATCCTTTTATCCTGAGGCTACTACTGTTCTGATTTTTTACACATAAGTTAGTGTTGCTTTTCTATAAGCTATAAGCAAAAAAGCTATCCTTTAAGCTACATTTTAATTGAAATTTTATTGAGATGCTTCTAGATTCTTATGTTATTATAAAGGTTTTGAGATTCATCCACGTACTGGCAACTCATCTTTTTCTTGACAAAT